ATTTATTTCATCACTTGGAAAGATTAAAAAATGTTCAAACATCAATAAAGTCTTTGATTCGCCAGCTATGACGTCACCAGCAGCAACTACATCGATAACATCAGCAACAACTACATCAACAACAACATCATCAGCTGTAACGACAACAATAATACGAACACCACAGCCAATCAGCTCATCTTCAACAAACAGAGTAACAACTGGAAATAAATTAGATTCGGGTATTGCCAATATTAGCCCATTCAACAACAACAACAACAATAGTAGTAGTAGTAGTTGCGTACCAATTTTAGATGTGAACTTAAATTACAGCGAAGCAAATAATTTCACTGGTGTATTTTAATAATTTATTCATTTAATTTTTTATTGTTTATTTTCTCGTTCGTTCGATGGTTCCTTCATTCCTTCAATTGTTTAATCATTCATTCATTTGTTTATTTCCTCATTCATTCATTCATTCCTTCATTCATTCATTCATTCATTCATTCATACAAGTCATTCATTTTTACATACATACCAAACAAAAGAAATGTTTTGCCCATAAATTAATACATACATACAAACAAACATGCAGGCACGCACACACACACACACACACACACACACACACACACATACCAAGATGTCTGAGCCCCGTCAGCTAGGATAATCGCACGAATAAATATTCATCCATGCACTTCTCATTCTCACCTAATGGAATAACAAAGAAACGTCATCGTCTTATCTCCATCATCATCATCGTTACACATTCACACACGTACACACACACACATATAGTTACGTATACACATACATACATACACGCACACACATCCTTCTTGTATCATATTTCAATTCTTAAACCTTTTAACCATAGTTTCTTCTGCAAACTGATACAACGCTACGCAGATATACTAGGTGAAAATAGCTAATATTTCCAGGTAATGTTCGTACGTATGTTTTTTTTTTTTAGTTTTTTATGCATATATATGTGTGTGTTTGTGTGTGTGTGTTTGTTGCGCTAACGAAATACGCTAATTAACCAGGTTATATTACACTGAAGAGGTTTTCAACTCAACTCTTCTTATTGTATTTTAAAATAGGAATATAAACCAAGGTTTTTTTTTCTAAAATTTTAACATAGAAATCTGAATATAAAAAAAGTGTGTAATTGCTTAAAACAAACACCAATTAACTAACTTATCAGTAAACTTATCAATCAATCAATCAATCAATCAATCAATCAATCAACCAACCAATCAACCAACCAATCAACCAATCGATCAACTCAAAACACACACAGAAAATCTCTCTCAAAGAATAATATTTATAAAAATGACAATGTATTAAATAATGGTAATAATATTTAAATCAGGCATAGCATTAACATGACATAAATTGACGCATCAAAAAGATGAAAGTAATAACATTAACAACAACAATAACAATAATAACAATAGTATTAACAATGACAATAATAATAAATAATGTTTCTTTAAGAAAATTTTGCCTTGGAGAAATCCATCTCAGGATGTTTTTCCATAAACCTGAAAAATAATTATATTATTTTTCTTTTTATTGTTAATGTCATAATAATTGTTTATTATTATAATTATTATAAAAAAAATTATGATTGTTATATGGTAACATCGGCAACATTACTCAACATCATCATCAATATCATCTTCAACATTTTTCAACAACAGCAGCAGCCGGTCAACATCATCATAGCAATTCATCATCAATAGACATACTGCTTGAGTATTTCATTCTTCTTCTGGTCCTCGGAGGTTGGCAGACCTAGCTCCTTCTGCCTCTGATCGTACATCATCTTCTCAACTGTCCCTCGCGTGTCGTCGTCTAAGTCGGAGAGCTGGGGTTCAAACGCAAGCGAAAACGCACTAACATTTTTAACGTTTCATGGGTTTAACTTCAACATTAACATCAACAATATTAAAAATAATGATAACAACATCAATAATAATAACAATAATAATGGTAAAAAAAAAATAAAAAATTACTTTGGAATTTTCAGGGACAACTTTACGCGTGTTTATCTCAGGATCTGTTTTGATCAAGCGACTCCACCACTCCATTTTGTTGACCTGATTGGTCGGTTGATTGATTGACTGACTGATTGATTGATTGGTTGATTGACTGATTGGCAAGTTTTTAGATTAGAAAATATGCATTGATTAGTTTGTTATAAGTTTTCATGATTGGTAAGAGGCGTGATTTATAATCAACCAATTAACAAACCAGACAATGCCCTAAAAGACCAATCAGCCAACCAATCAACCAGCCAACCAATCAACCAGCCAACCAATCAACCAGCCAACCAATCTACCAACCAACCAATCAACCAGCCAACCAACCAATCACCTTTTCAATCTGTAGCACAATCGATTTGCGATCCTCGAGACACCAGGTCGACTCCTCAACCTTTATCTCATGATCAGTCTCACAGTCGATGATCGGAGGATGTCCCTTCAGACTCACTAACAGGTGCTAGAAGAGAGATCAGGGAAATAATAACGACAATAGTAACAGTAATAACGAGATAAGTATGTTGATAGATAGATGATCGAAAAAAAAAAGCAATCAACAAACCTTCTTTTTGAAGACTACGTTTACATGAGCAGCTTTGACTGTCATGTTTAGTGGGATCCTAACCTGGTAGCATTATAATATCAATCAACCAACTGGCAAATCAACCAGCCAACCAACCAACTTATCAACCATGCAGCAAGCCAACCAATCAACTAAGTATAAATAGATAGACAGACAGACAGAGAGACAGCCAGACTGACTGAAAGAAAAAACAATAGAAAAAAGAAGAAAAAGTAAAAAAATGACCCAACTGACTTCTATTTCAGAAAGAGTTTGTGTCCATTTGTACTTTTCAAGGTCAGCCCCATTGCCAGAATTTGGCTTCAACTTGCCTTTGTCCTTCTCATCCTCTTCCTCTTCCTCATCAGCCTTTTCAATTTTTAAAACAGTGTTCATAAAGGGTCAAAATTTTTCAAATTATAAAAATAACAAGATCAAAGCATGGACTTTTTTAAATACACAAAAATTACAGAAAAAAACTAATCACGTTTTCTTTCTTATCAGCTTTGGCTGTTGTGGAATCTTTGGTAGATGTTTCAACATTATTAATGTTATTATTAGTAGCAGAGGCCAAAGGTGTGGCGTTTGAAGAGGATGATGAAGAGGTAGCAGTAGAGGCAGTTGAACCAACATCATTGTCTTCACTTTTCATAGATTCTGCAACCTTTCTTTTCTTTTTAAATGAGAAAATTTGTGTGTGTGTGCATGCGTGTGTGTGTGTGTGTGAGAAAGAAAGAGAGCTGCACATTAAATCTAAAATTATTTCTTCAAATGAATCAGTGTAAAAACACAGAGCATCTATTCATGAAAATGATAAAAAAAACAAGTCAAACAAAATTAATAAAAGAAAAAAATAACAATGTTTTTGTTGCTAGTAAAAAAAGAATCCAATTAACTTTTTCTTCGTCAATTTCCTTCTGCAACTTTTCGGCTTCTTCATCGGTTATTTCAACAATTTTAGCACCTTCCTCTTGATCTCCTACTCCATTTTCTTTGGCCTTCTTCTTTGCTAACTTCTCTCTCCTAATCCTCTCGTCTTCCTCTCTCTGCTTCCTCTCCTTTTCTGCCCTTTCCAGAGCCGGTTTTTCAAACATGAGGAATTTTTCCAGTAAAAGCTAGACAGTTGGTTAATGACATAATACTAATAAAAATTACTTTACTATGTGGATTTTGTAATTAAGTCTACTTCACACTTACTGATAAAAGGCTAAATAATAATCTAATAATAAAGAGAAGCAATAAATTGAAAATTATGTCAAATAAAATAAAAATAATTACTAAACTTTAGTTACCAAAGTGAAGAAAACACTACTACTAACTTTCTGAGCTGCCCCTTTGCCCCCACCAATGTAGAAGTCTGTCTTTCGACTCAGAAAACTGAACATAACTTCTAGTAACTGTAAGTAAGTTAAACCAATTTTTCATCATTAATTCAAGATTTACAAACCAAAAATACATTAATAATTTGTTTTGTTTCACAGAAAAATTTGATATGATCTGAAAAACGATATTAAGAACTTGACAATAGAAAAAAATTTTTGTTTTGGAACCTTCGAGAAGGATAATGGCAGACGATAATAAAATAGTTACGAGAACGTCATTTAAAATCACCTCTTTTATTCCTCCTTCACATTGATTGGCCATACTCAACAGCAAACCGTCAAAGCGTTCAATGTCGCTCATTTTTTAATAAAATTAATGAAATATTATTGAAACAAATGAAAAAAACTGCGAACCTACTCTAGCAACCACAACCAGAGAACAAACAATAGAGCATAGAACCGAAATTACGAATCGAAATAATTATGTTTCTTAGCAACGTATCAACGCAATACGACTCAACTAAAAAATTACTTTTTAATCGCATTGAAAACTAAGAAGTTTTTAACATTTTTTTTATTAATTCTTCAATTCAAGCCTCATAAAACATTTCCCAACGTCGCTAGTCTCAAAAATTAGACACCTGATCAAATGTATCATCAAGAAAATACCAATTAATAAGAAACCAACGACAGCCAGGAAAATATAATAGCAAGTATAATACTCGAAAACGTTTTTAAAGCGAACTCTTCTTGGTCTTCTTTTCATGTTATCTCTGACCCCAGTCACGTAAGTTTGCCTAATTTCACGGAACTGGGGACGTGACTCGACGTCGACTGTGCTATTACACTTCCACGACACTGAATTCGGCATCTGCGTTGTAGGTCCCAAATAAGCAGACGAAAATTAGATTTTTTTTCAAAATTAACCGTAAATAATTGAAGAAACAAAACGAATTAGTCGGTTTTTTCTTATTCCATACAAGTTATCCTTTAAAAAATTCGTTTATTAGATTGATAAACAAAAAACTCTTAATGCACTTGATTCAAAATAGATTTTATTTTCTATACAACAAAACATATAACTCAAGAAATTAATAACAATAGTGACAAATTCATAAGTATTTTCCAGGTGATATGACAATCCATCCACCTGCTAACTGCAATCTATAACATTCCATTGTGTATGCAGGCTTGTATCCATTGGCAACCACGTTTACAATGTAGGTGAACATTTATGAATCAAGTTTGCTGTTGCCACGTTGGTACTTTTTCATGTATTTAACCTAATCACTATTTTATATTGCCATCTGGTGAATTTCAAGTTATTTGTTTAAAGCGGATTCATTTACTTCTTTTAAACAAAAGCAAACTTCTATCCCAACCTGTCTCTCCAAACTTTTTAATAAGATTCATAGAACAAGATTCAGTTAGGAATTCACAAATTTCATTCACAACATTCTCACGCCATTTTAGGCTGGGGAAATGTTTGAAAGGTTCACTTTTAGAACGTTTCATCCTCCTAACTGCAGATTTATAATTTTTCCAAGTCTGTGGCTCCAAGAGAATGCACTTTGAAATTTGACAAATGTACAGTAAAAAATTTTTTAATCCGTCATCACCATTATTTAAATGAATCCACATCGTAATTGAAAAAAGAAATGAAATGTCAAATTGGAGAGAATAATTTTCTTTCAAAAAACTTTCAAGTACAGTTGATCTGTCTTTTTCTGACATGATGTCTGCCATTTTAAACGAAAGTTTCTCGGAATTTTGATTGCATTCTTCACTTCTTTCAATTAAAACCGGATCAATGTCGATTCCTAATATTTTCATGGTGAACAAACTGTGACTGTTAGGCTTAGCGTTAGGATCTTCACTAAATTGATTAAACAAGTTTCTTGTTAGTTCCTGCATTAAAAAATCATCATTCTTATTTAAAACGTAAATAAAAAAATATAATTTGAAATATTTCTTAAAACTTCTATAATTTATAACATTTATAACACAAAAACATTTATTCAATTAAAATTTAATAATATTGAGATTCGATTCATTTGATTTGATGTTTGATTCGATTGCTCACAGGTTTAACAAAAATAAATTAAAAATCATTGAAATAAATAAATGAAATTTATAAATGAAATTTATTCAGTAACCCCAGAGTTGCATCCAACATCCAACAACAAAAACACTTTTCTACCGCTATCTTCATATTTGTACTCTTGCCTTGCTTCACAGTTTTCCCAGCAGACCTGTATTAGTAAATCTTTAGGTATGAACTTTAACCTTTCCGATGGCGGATTAAAAGAATAATAATTTATAAAATTTCCGTTCCGGGCAGCGCCTGGATCAAACATAATTTTTAAATATAAAATATTAACAGCAAATCACGTTAAATTAACATTAAAGAAAACACGAGTTACACGCCATTCCTCACAATAGCATATAATCTTTTGACTTAAATTTATTTTTAAATATGAAGTGGAAGCGTTTTGTTTTTTAATTGTCGCCACTCCCTATTGCACCCTATCACATATTTAAAGTATATGCCCGACACATCTGAATACACACTAATTAAAGCAAAAATTTGTATGTTGGAGCCATTTTTAAAATGATTATAAACAATTCAAAAGTATTTAATATTATTTAATGAATATACAACAATAGTTTACATTATTAGCGGAAAAAACGAAAAAAGGATGAATAAATTGATTAAGACCATGATTAGTAATTTTTAAAACCTGAATATTTCATGTTCCATGCTTAAATTTCAACTTTTTTGAACCCAGAAAAAAAATTAATTCATAAATATAATCATTTCTTTCAATTTGTAAGTATAAAACCTTTGTTATAGAAATCAACAGCAACAACATAACACTAACAACAACAGAAACAACAATAACACAACAACATCAATAACCAAACCAACAGGAATAACAATATTTATAGCTTGGTCTGTGAGCTTTGAATGGTTAAATATTGAGGTCTACAGGCTTTCATTTCATTAGTTTAAGTAATATTCACATATATCTATCAAGAATTAGTAATTTTAATAGTTATTATTAAACATTTGGTATATACTTCATCATTATATTTGAAGTTTATTGTATAAATATTTCAGACTATAAAACATGTTAAAAATTTTAACAATTATCTGGTGCTGGCTGAATGAGATCATAGAAAAAATACTGATGTTGAAGAAACGTAAGAGTATAAACGGCCAGTTGGTGTTCATAACGGGGGCTGGGGGCGGCATTGGAAGGCAGCTGGCCCTCAAGTTTGCTGCCGAGAATACGAAATTAGCCCTTATAGATATCGACAAGGTAAGGTCTGTAAATGTGTTCTATGTTTAACTTTAAAATTTAATGCTTATTTTGGCTGTTTTTTCCATTTTTATTGATAAATTCAAAGTGAAATGTTAATTTTCATTTAATTGTATTTCATTTAATAAATCTAACCGAACGTGTGCCTAAAAGAAAAGTTGTGACATGACGGCCAGGCTTGTTGAAAATTCATACAACGTCAAATGCATTCCATACGTGTGTGACGTTTCAAACAGAGATGACGTCAAAAAGGTTGCCGCAAAGGTCAATAGGGACTTAGGTGAGGTCAACATTCTCGTGAACAACGCGGGCATAGCAAATTACAAAACAATGTTAGAACTAACTGAAGAAGAAATTCGAAGACTGATTGATGTTAATCTGCTTGGCGCGTTTTGGGTTTGTATGAGTGTGTGCGTGTGTGTTTGCGTGTGTTTGTGTATGTTTGTTTGTCAGGGCGTGCCTTCTCAAACGAACAACATTGTACCGTCATAGACTACTATATTCGACAATACAATAAAATATTTTATGAACAATTTCTCGATATTTTCACAACAAACAGACAATCCAAGAATTCTTACCCGAAATGTTCCGGAGAAACGGAGGTCACATCGTGAACATCTCCTCGATTGGAGGCTGTCTGGGAGTGGCTCTCTGTTGCGACTACTCGTTAGTAGATATTCTATCGCTACACACACTTTACTATTGAATATTTTTCACCGTGAAATTTCATTACAAAGTCTATCGCATGGCGATACAAATAGTCAATTTTGACTATTTTGATACTGAACATCAAAAGTATTGCTGATACCAGAGCCAGCATTGAAAAAGGTATCGTCGGTTTCGATACAATATCTCGTCGATAGCGATAATTCGATATTAACAACCCTGATTTATGCATATCTGTTGTAAACTCACATATTTAATAAAAGAAATTTGTTAAATAACTCTAGAGCTTCTAAATTCGGCTTACGAGGACTATCAGAGTCATTGATAGAAGAGATGTTCCGATACAAGAGAACCGGTATTCGTGTATCGGTTGTATACTCATCATTCGTCGATACCGATTTGCTTAACAAAATACCGGAGGAATATAGTTTGGAGTACTTTGCTTCATTATTTTCATTATTATTTCGAAATTATTACTATTATATTATTATTTATTCGTTTATAGAGGTGTAAAACTCGTGTCACCTGAAAAGTTAGCAGACGACGTGCTAGATGGTGTTCTCAGGGATCAGAAACATATATTCGTCCCGAAACAATTATGGAAAATCAATGCACTGACAAAGTATCGTATCGAATTGCGTTGTATCGTATCGTATTATACAGTGTTGTGCAGTGTCATGAGATGTTGTCGACTGCGATTGTAATTTATTTTGTTGCATTTTAATGTACACATTAACTGTGTGTGTGTGTGTGTGTGTGCATGAGCGTGTGTGTGTGCGTGTGTAAATTAGAGTGATGTAATTATTTAAGATTTTATCATCATTTGCATCACCATTTCATCGCCGTTTAACGCAAAAAAGTCACACACACACACACACACGCACACACACACACACACGCATTTAACAAAATACGACAAATAATGCAATATGAAAATCAACATTTTGGAAATTTTAAATTATTTTCTAAAGCTTACTACCAACAAAAACAATGATGACTCTGCGATGTTTGTATCCTATTGGTACCAAGTATGATGAGGAAGATTTACAGAACGTACAGTAGACGGATGTGGGTATCATGATATCACTCTCTCTCTCTCCATCTTTTCTCTATTATCCACCTGTCTATCTATCTATACATCTTTACTTTTAAACAAGGTCCTATGATATTATCTTTTACCATGTGACTCAACTTACTAAAACTTATCGAATATACAGACACATATTTCATTTTATGTTTTTGTATTTCTTATCGGAAATATTATTATGCTTATGTGTGCGCGTGCGTGTGTTCTATCTCATGAATTATATAAAATAAGCCGAATAAATGAATGAATAAATATAAAATTATACCTGAAGATCGGGTGTAAAATTGTTACTTTTTCATTCCTCTAATGACAAAGTTTTCTGTTTATGTTTTTATTTGCAGTTACGATGACGTCGTTTTTTAGGGTAAAATTTAGAAACGCATTTATAACAGAAGCGTTAATTCTTTTTTAATTTAGAACGTGCAAACAGACAGACGGACAGACAGATGGACGCAGACGAACAAACAAAAAATTAATTGATTTATTTATTTTATAGGCACACGAACTTTTAGTTATCATAATGTTATAGCAATATAATATACATAATACAGTTCGTCTTTATATAGTGAGCCAAAGAAATGCATTGTGTAAAAATGTCAGTGTTAAAACCAATGTTAGCTTTTATTATATATGAATAAATTGGTTAAATAAATGGATGAATGATTCAATGAATGTGTGATTGAATAATTGACCGACCTACTGACTGACTGAATGAATGAAAAACAAACGTTGAATAGAATAATTTAATGAAAAAACGAATTAAAATAAATTAATTAATTGAAAAGAAAAAAATAGGCAAAATAATTTCTGATAAACCTGAATGACTTAATAATACTAATAAGATGTTGATTAAAAAAACTGCTGAAAAAATTTAGTGAAGGCCACGTTCAAACAGGTGTACAAGCAATAATTCTGTCTAATCCTCACTAGACACAAACACGAATCACTCACTACAACCTCTAATCGCTACCACAACATTGAAGATTTGCCGCCAGGTGGCTGACGACGTGACGTCATAATTGGTGGGGTCACTGGGGCGCCAGTGGCCTTCTGGAAAAGAATTCAAAATAAAACTTTGGCTCAAGTTACAATAAAAAACGAATTAAAATTGAATTTTTTTAATTTACTATTAGAAGAATTACAAAATCATTTTAAACCGGCTTCACATTCGTCTTGTCGCCGCTTACCCCGTTCTCAGCAGCAGACTGACAATAATTCTCACCAGTGATTGGATTAAAACCTGTCTCAAATTAATTATTTTCGAATAAATAAATTAAATTTCAAAAAAATTTTAAAACAAAAATTCGTCAGTTACATGTAAGATGTGTAATAAAATAGGTTCTAAACAGATGCAAACTAAACGACCCTGCTTCTTGAAGTTTTTCTCGTGAACTGACTTTTCACTGACGATCTCATTCTGAACGTTCGGGGAGAAGTTATTGTTGACGTCGACGTTTCTTTTGTCCAAATTTTCCTGATTGTCCGAGTCAAAAATGGTGGACGCTGTATGGTTGTTTCTCGGTTTGATAACTTCTGTAGGGTACGGACCAAATATCATGCTACTTGCACCACCTGGCGGCTGGGGATTTCTGCGGTTTTGTGATTTTTTTACTTTTATTAATAATTTAATGTATCTTATTTAATAGTCGAGTTACTTGAAAGTTCAAAATTTAAACTAATTTAATTAATGAAAATATTTGGTCTGCTGATACTGGGTGAAATGAGAAAATAATGTACCCTACCTCTTTGGCTTGTCCATATGCTCAATTGAGTTCATTTTATCGAGTTTTACAATCGAATTTGATAAAATAAAGGTTTAAAGAACAAATTGTTGATTTGAAAAATTGAAATTCTGAGCCGTAATTAAAGCAGGAATGCCGTTGAAAGCTGGGTTGCTAGTGGCGCGAAAGACAAAGTTATGCTGGATTGTTCGTTTCTATAGAGATGATTAAATTAAATATATTTCATAATTAAATTTAAATAATTAAACAACATTTATGAGTGACTTTCATTACGAGATCACAATAAAAATTGTTAGAAATAAATGAATTTACAATTCTTTGTTTAGTTTATACATGATTTTTACGACCATTAAAGCACCTCTGTGTTTATCGAGTTTCTTTGTCCTAATCCTGGGTATTTATTTAATCTGCACGTTGACAGCGCGCCACAAATTTGATTCCGATCTGTTTCATTTTTTGCTCAAATTCACTGCAAGTTCAGGAAAAATGTCTCAAAAGGATATTTATTATTCCGATAAGTACACTGACGAGTTTTATGAATACAGGTTTGTGACTTAATCTTGTTTTTAAGCGTTTTAAATCGTGATTCGCTGTTCATTGTTTTTTTATTTTTGTTTTATTATCGCATCTGGGATCAATTCCCCGGATTTTGTTATTTACTCGCTACGGCAAATTTTTAGCTTAAAATTAATTTTCTGCCATTTTCTATAAAACAATTTTTTAAATTTATGTTTTTAAAATAGGCATGTGATGTTGCCCAAGGAAATTGCAAAATTGGTTCCAAAGAACCACCTGATGTCAGAAGATGAATGGAGAGGCATTGGGGTCCAGCAGAGCCAGGGATGGCAGCACTACATGATGCACGGGCCTGGTAAGTTTTTGAGACATCTTCCAAATTTTAATTTTTAAATTTGTTGGTAAATATTTAAATATTTTAAGACTGGCTAATATTGTAATTGACTAAAATAATATAATAATTCATCCCAACAGAGCCACACATCCTTCTGTTTCGTCGCCCCCTCTCATTTGCTCAGCCACAGTTGCACAAATAAAGATGAAGACATCTCGACCCTGTTCTATTTATTATTTCATATTATTACCATATTATAATTGGAAGAATTAATGATTCTGCCAAACGACTGTTCTGTACATATATTTTTTTGTCGTTTGCACTTGTAATGGCTCTATTTGTTTGACACCAATGCTAATTAATTTTTCAAGTTATTTTCAATAAAGATCTATTAAAAGTGGATTAAGCAAATGTTAATTATCTTGGAAATATCATTTTTGGTCATCACTGACAATTACATGAACCTAACACTATTGCATTGAAAATTCGTGTTCACAATGGACATTTTTGTAGATGGAATTTAACGATTTGTGATTTATGTATTTAATGAAATCAGAATAGAAAAAATTACAAAAAAGTATATTTATGACAAAATTTCAATTATGATGGAACTTTTAATTGATAATTAGGTTGAGAGAGAATGCCTTCCTTTGAGAAGCCTTCTCCAAAGAACAATTAGTCCTCTCCTTGTCGATAGCCTTTTTTCTAATCCATGCTTCTTTAGACGTTTGTGAACGTTAGGGCGATAATGAGTTCTGGCCGATGCCCTAATTTGTTGAAGATTAACTGCACATGCGCTGGATTTAAGTAGCTCGCAGTTTGTCAGTGCAGTTGTTTGGGTTGTTGGAAATTTTGTCAGTGGTTCAATCCTTATCAGGCTGCTAAGATTGACCCGTGACAGGCTGTAAAGTGTAACAAATACAATTTGAGATTAAAATTAACTGCTGTCAAATAACGAAAGTAACAAGCAACGGTAGTAAATAGGCAAGGTAGGGAGCAAAGCAAGTAATGAGTAATCAGTAATGGGTAATCACGATTAAATAGACGATGCCAATTTTTTTTAAACTTACAATTGGCTGGTCGGAAGAAAGTTCTTCATGACACTCAAAGCAAAACTCGTCAGATTTACTCTGAACATAATTTTTGTATTTTAGGAACGCCTGTAAAAGTATTTTAAATATTACAACTTTAAATTTCCTCAATTATCGCTTAATTACCATAGATGAAGGAGTGGCTATTTGACTTGCTTGGATTGTTGGCTTATTGGCTTACGAAATTGCGGGTGTTTTAACGAGCTTGCTATATTAATTATTTACTTGATAATGTAGTAATTTTATTGGTTTTTATTAAATAGAATTATGTTTTATTAAATTATTTTTTTTGATATAAATATAAAAATTGCTTTTTGTCCGGTGAAATACAGTGGCTCACTGAAGCCATGGGTTGGCCTACTAGGATTGAACTATAATCAGTAATTTTTTTTTATTCTAGTCAAATTTAAATGCCCCCGTTAAAGTTTACCGCTGTTTAGGTGTAGAAGCATATAATTAGAAGTTAATATTATTAAGCGGTATGTTAGCCACTGTGTTTTCGAAACAAAAAGGAATGATTTATTTAAATTGGAAAAAATAATCTTTAATTACATAATTCGATTTAATTACATTATTTCAAACATATTAAATTAAATAAATATTCAATATTAGCTGTTTGTTGAAACCCAGACAATTTTTTAATTAAGCCAATAAGCCAAATAGCCCGATCCTTTTTCTATTGTTGTCATCTTATCTCGAAAAAGTTAAAAGTTAATCTCATTCAGCTTTATATTTTGTTTTATTCTAAAAAACGAAAATATATAAACTCAAAAATGTTGTACTTGGAAGATTATTTAGAAAGTTTGTAGAGTTTGAATCTTTTTTTTTCAATCATTTTTTCAATAAAATTTCCCATTAGTAAACTTCTTACCTGATGCTGTTGTTGATAATTCCTAAAATTAGTGATTGAAAACCTGCCGATGGAGATGAGAGACAAATTCACGGAAATGCGAGAGATGGATCTGCAAGTTTCCAGTTAGTAATTAGGAATAATCATTAAAAACAGACATACATACATACAATATTGTACATATTATAATTATTTATACAATATTATACAATACATACATACCTACCTAATTTACTTACTTTCTAAATCAAACTTAACATAGATTAAAGTTTTTTTTAAATAAACTCACACAAAACAATTAAACTACTACTAACCTAACACTACAGACCACACTACACACTCCACTACTACAGACATACGCATCATATACAACACATACCTACATAACATACATTTGATAGAGGTACATACATACACACATACATTCATAAAAAAACACAAACATACATACTATACAAATTACATACAATAAATTTGCATGAATAAATGTGTGAATAAATAATTGTGAAATGTTTTAAAATAAATTAATTTCTCATATATATGACTATACATATATACATTTTCTGGTTCTGTTCATGTTGAATATGGTGCTGTTAAGCCCATTCCAGCTGACAATATTGATGGTTTTTATGAGAAACTTTCTTTTTTTTTTTAATTAACACTATATAAATTTCTATATGATAAGAATAAATAAATAAATAAATATATATATATATATATGTATATATATATATATATATATATATTAGTTTTTATAATCTTAGACACCACTGATAGTTTGGATGAGAAAGTTAATCAGTTTTTCAAGAGGTGCAGTTCAAACATCATGAAACAGGAGTGGAAGGATGAGCAGATGGCAAAGATAAAACAAGTATGGAGAACCTTTTTTTTTTAAAAAAAAATTATAGCAAAATTATTTCTGTTTTTATAGTTCTTTAAAAAATTTTGTGTTTTTGTCATCTATTATATATATATATATATATATATATATATATATATATATATATATCAATGATTATTCATTTTATATAATTATTGCATACAAACACTACACATACTTGTTTATATACTAATAAACAGATAGACATACATACATGCATGCATACACTTAAACTCAGGAGTATGCAAAAGTCTTAGAAGATGCAGACGAGAAAGTTCAACTTGCCAATCAAATCTACGAACTGGTTTGTCTACAGTTGTTGCTCGCGTGTGTGTGTTCTGTTTGTCTGTGTGCGTACGTGTGTGTGTGTGTCTCTGTCTGTCTGTGCATGTGTGTGTGGAAAAGAGAGAAAAAGAGAGGAAATAAAAGTTTAAAAAATGTATAAGGTTTCAAACATTGTCTGTAAATGATTACAGGGTATTATTATAGTACTGTAATAATAATAATTCTCGATAGACAAGCATTAGTTATAATTATAATAACTATAATGTCAAGGTCGAACGTCATTTGAGAAAGCTTGATCAGGAGTTGTCGAAATTCAAAATGGAGCTGGAGGCCGATAATGCTGGTATCACAGAGATATTGGAACGGAGTTAGTGCTATGCCACTTGTTTCAACTCTCCCTCTCTTTTTTCTTTCTCTCTCTCTCTCTCTCTCTCTCTCTCTCTTTCTCTCTCTTTCTCTCTCTTTCTCTCTGAAATACTTACTTTCTCAATTTATTTTCCCATCCTTCTTTTTTATTTCAATCAATGAAGTTTCCTTCTCGCTCTTTCATTTGTTTTTTCTCTTTTTTCCTGTTCTTGCTTTTATTCTCTCTCTCTCTCTCTCTCTCTCTCTCTCTCTCTCTCTCTCTCTCTCTCTCTTTCTTTCTCGCTAACTCATGCTTTTCCACTTTGTCCATTCCTCTCAAATATTTTACTGTTAGTTAATTTGCTTAATTTGCGTAATGATGGTGTGAGACACTTTTTTCTCTAATTATCCCTGATGCCAGGAACGATCGAGTCAGAACGTTCGACGCCCCAATTCATCGGCTACCATAAACCTGAAAGTAAGAAAATTAAAAAAATTTTTTTATCTATTGTTGTTGTTGTTGTTGTTGTTGTTGTTTGTATTGTTTTGTAGTTTTGTATGCCTTTGTTTGTGATGTTGTTGTGAAGTTATTACAAACGAACGCAGAAACATAAACAAAGACACAACTATATACAAAGCAACAAGCAAACTGCAAAATTTTCAAAAGCAAAGATATTATTATCAATATAATTATAATAATTTATTCAAAAGCAAAGATATTATAATCAATGTGATTATAATAATTTATTCAGAGCGGAAATACCCTTCAGCATATGAACAATCAACGACAACAACGACAACAGCTGCAACAACAACAGCAAACAAACACCAGGCTAGCTCATCAACAACAACATCACACCACCACCACCACCATCATCATCATAACTACAGCAACAACAACAACAACAACCACAATAGCAACACTAACATCAACAACAACATGAAATCAAACCTGGAGAGATTGGGGTCGTCATCATCTTTGGCCGCCGAGCTAAACAAAGATACGACTACAAACTATACTAACAACAACAACAACACTAATTCGACATTCCTGTTACATAGTTTCAATAAAGCGCAACAACAACATCAGCAACAACAACATGCATATCTTGACATTCATCACACCAACAACAACAACAACAACAATATGACGTCACATCTGTATGAACAGCAGCAGCAACAACAACAACAACAGCAGCCAAAAGTTCCTACTCTAAGCTGTAATTTAGGTTTTTTTTATTGTTGTGGTTGTTGTTGTTGTTTTTACTATAATAATAATCATTATTAAACACAATGCTCTTTATAATCATACTAATAATAATAATGATAATAATAAACATCATTATCATCATTATTAGTCGGCAGTGGAAGCAATGCAGCCATCGCTGTGGCAGCTTCTCGAGCTATCGGAGCCACAGTTGAGGTATGTATGTTTGTATGTTTGTTTGTTTGTTTGTATGTTTGTGTTTGGTTGTATGTTTGTTTGTTTGTTTGTTTGCATGTTTGTGTTTGGTTGTGGTTGTGTGTTTGTATTTTTTATGTATGTACTTGTCTGTATGCATGTATGTTGGTTTGTTCGCTAATAATAATAATAATATTGTTAATATTTTTAAATAATTACGATTAATTATAATTATCATCATTATCCTCATTATCGTTAGATGCAGCAAGGCAGACGGACGGCTAGCTTAAAAGCCAGCTACGAAGCTGTCAGGAAAATCCCGAAGCTGCTGACACCCACGCAGAATAATAATAACAATAATAATAATATAAACAATAATAATAATAATAATAATATAAATAATAATAATAACGGTGGCGGCGGTGGTAGTAGTAGTGGCGCCATGCTGCACATTGCTGATGGAAATGTGTTAGTTGGGAGTAGTAAGTCGACGGCTAAGAATAAGAAGTATGTGTTGTTGATGTTGTTGTTGTTGTTGATGTTGTTGATGTGGCTGTTGATGTTGTTGTTGTTGTTGTTGATGTTGATGCTGATGCTGTTGTTGATGTTGTTGTTGTTGTTGTTTATGTTGATGGTGTTGTTGTTGTTGTTGATGTTGTTGTTGCTACATCACTTTGAATTAATGAGTTGATGGATCATTTAGAGTGACATCGGTCCATATCAGGCCACAACATCAAAAACACAGACAACAACATTATCTGCAACATCAACATGAAATTTTAGGCACGGCGGCCACAGCAGCAGCAACAACAACAGCAGCAGCGGTGGTAGTAGTGGCACTGGTAATTTGACACACCGTTCAGCTTTATATCAACAACAGCTACAACAACAACAACAGCAACATAATGTGATTTCTTCCATCGATACGGCTAATGGTCTGTGTTGTGTTTATATGTTTATGATCGTCATAACCGTCACCACCATCATCATCATCATAATCATCTTCACATTCATCATCATTATCATCACCATCCTCATCTTTATCATAACCAGGTGGTGGTGGTGGGGATGTTGTCAGCGAGGAAACGAGCACTGGCTGGCATGCAGATCCAAACGAGCCTAGATACTGTCTCTGCAACGATGTCTCGTACGGAGACATGGTCGGATGCGACAACGAAGACGTTAGTGTTGATGCTGCTGCGGTTGCGGTTGCAGCTGCTGTTGCAGTTGCAGCTGCTGCTGCTGATGATGATTATTATCATAATGTTGCTGATGGCTTTGTTGATGCTGATGTTGATGACAGTTCATTATGACTAAGCTAATCGCGACCGACTTTTCATCATCATCATCGCCATCATCACTACTTCCACCTCATCTTCATCATCACCACCACAATCATCGTCATCATCACGACAGTGCCCTTTAGAATGGTTCCATTACGGATGCGTCGGGCTCCAGCAAGCCCCCAGGGGCAAGTGGTATTGTCCCCAATGCCTATTGGCTATGAAAAGAAGGGGGCGAAAGTAGTACTATATATATATATATATATATATATATATATATATATATATATATAATATGAATATATAAACATTCTTCATTGAAGTTTACTTTTGATTATATTTTTTAAATGGTTTAATTTTGGGGAAGAACGAGGAATCGAAGAAATGACGTTTTTGTTATTTTATTTAGTAGTGATGACAAGATGAAATTAATTCAATTGATTCATTCGTTTATTCATCTAATGTACGTTTGTGTGCATCTATGTATATGTGTGTGTGTGTGTGTGCGTGTGTGTGTGTGCGTGTGTGTGTGTGTGTGCGCGCGTAATAAGATACATGCTCGTTAAAATACAAACATACAATTAAGACGATTTAGAAAACATTTTTTTAAAGTAAAATGTTGAATAATAACACAGTGAAGATATGGTACACGTATATTGATATCAATAAAGATGATATGTGCGTGTGTGTGTGTGTGTTTGTAGTAGTGTCGGCGGGTCGGATAAAAAATATCCGGCGTAAAAATTTTCAACCTTGGGTTTATCGAAATTGAATTTTGTTCAAAATTCTGGGTTCTTTTCTATTCGGCCATGAGCTTCGGTCGAATAGCGGATCAACTATTCGGTAGAAATCACTATTCGGTGCGTCCTTGTTTGCGTTATGTTGTGCATGTGGTCTAGAGGTGAGTTGTTCATTTTGGGTATAATATCGGTCCGTGTGAATTAGTTTGTATGTACGTCTGTATGTGCATATTTGTGTGAATGTACGTGTTGGTATGTGTGTGTGTGTGTTCACATGATTGTACACAAGCAGCAATCCTGATAATGATTTTCCTGCGTGTACAACTTCAAATCATCGCCATACAGCCAGAGTTTGCCGTCAACATCATTCCAAACGTATGTGCACTCTACGATCGGGATGCTTCGGAGTCTGGATCGCTGTGTGTTTGTAAGTATGTACGTACGTATGTATGTACGTATGTATGTATGTGTGTGTATGTATATGTGTGCGTGTGTGCGTGAGGGTGTACAAACCTGCCCCAGTACCCTTTTATGTCTGGCCAACTTGACCTGATCGTGCATGACGTCACGCGTGAGGTCATATATTTGCTGGCCACACCTCATTATGGGTTTCAACTGTTGATGTTGTTGATTTTGATGATGTTGTTGATTTTGATGATGTTGTTGATTTTGATGATGTTGTTGTTGATTTTGATGATGCTGTTGATTTTGACGATGTTGTTGTTGATGTGATTAAATGCTTCATCATGAAGATAAGAGCGTTTAAATAGTTAAAAATAAAAAACCGATAAAGAAATTTAGTACCGATACCGACAAAACACAATAGCAAATAGGTACAACACCGATAAATTACACCTTCTCGCCCATCTCTGTTATGAGGTCATTTCCTGCCGAACTAATGACCAGCTCTGCCGGAAGTTCGTAATTTTCAATCACCCTATCCGTTGTCTGATTTGAGCTGGGGTAATTATTTTCTGGTACTTATTATTATTAGTATTATTATTAGTAGTAGTATTTAGTAGTAGTAGTAGTAGTATTTAGTAGTAATAGTAGTAGCAAGTAATAGTAGTAGTTGTAGTAGTAGTCGTAGTAGCGGTAAGTAGTTAGTAGTAGTAGTAGTAGTAAGTAGTAGTAGTAGTAGTAGTATATTTTTGATTTATCATTCAACCAACCATCCGACCACTTAACTAACTATTGTACAGTAACTTTGAGATAACATTTCAGGTACCTAGTGCCCAAGCAGGTTCTACAAACTGTCTTGCCGTTTCCACAACAAATCGAACACCTGTGTATTTGTTTGTTTGTCTGCCTGTCTGTCTGTCTGTCTGGTTGTATATATATATATATATATATATATTGGGTTTAGACTATCATAAATACAATTATTTATTATGATCACTGAGTAAATAATTATAAAAGTCTTTGAAAGACTTTATAAATAATTATATATATATGTTTATGTATATATATGTGTGTGAGTGTGTGTTTGTGCGTGTGTGTGCGTGTGTGATGATGACGAAATAAAATAAAATTCTAAATAGTTTCAGTCTAGTAATAAAGAAAGTTGGGATAAAAACCCGGAAAAAGATATTTATTGATGCATAAATGGGAGACAGGATGAATGGAAGAAGGAATGAATGGGTGAATGGGCGAATGAATGAAAGAACGAACGAATAAACGATTGAATGAATGAAAGTCAAATGGAAAGAGAAAAAGGAAGAGTAAGGTATAAATATAGGTAGGAATTAAAAAACAAAAACTAAATAAGTACGATTGGAATGAACGAATGAATTAATAAATGAATGAATAAATAGATGAATGAATGAATGAATGAATGAATGAATGAATGAATGAATAAATGAATGAATGGACGGACGGACGGACGGATGGATGGATGGATGGATGGATGGATGGAAATATGGATAGAGAGATGGATGGATGAATGAATGAAGCAGGGTCATGACAATCAAGCTATTTGATCGCTTTTGTCAATCGTAAACATTTACATTCTTACATGCGTATGTATGTATGTTTGTATGTATGTATGTATGTATGTATGTATGTATGTATGTATGTATGTATGTATGTATGTATGTATGTATGTATGTATGTATGTATGTATGTATGTATGTATGTATGTATGTATGTATGTATGTATGTATGTATGTATGTATGTATGTATGTATGTATGTATGTATGTATGTGTAGCAGTAGTAGTAGCAGCAGTAGTAGTAGTAGTAGTAGCAGTAATGGTAGTAATAGTTACTTTTAAAAGTTTCTGCTCTGAGCATTTGAATAGAAAAAGCAATGCATAAAGAATGTCCTACTTTAAGATACTTAAGGGTCTAAACATCGCTTTTTGTGCTTATTTATTTGGACGTATGTTTGTGTTTGTCTGTCTGTTTGTTTGTTTGTCCGTCTGTTTGTTTGTGTGTGTGTGTGAATATTTTGTGTGTGTGTGAATATTTTGTGTGTGTGCATGAGTGTGTTTTTGTGTGTGTGACGTACATGTGTGCGCGTTAAAAAAAATGCAAAATTTTAGATAAATTTTCATAAACTTCACAAAATTCATTGATACATGTCTAAGAGACCCAAACAGAAAACACAAATTTACATTAGGACGGAATTAATTTACATCAAAACACACAATTACATACACTCTCACACACACACACACACCAAGCAGACACACACAAACAGACACACAAACAGACACACACAAACAGACACGCACCTTCTCCTTCCAGTCCCATGGCAGTGCCAACACGACTCACTCCCAATCCGTGCCGCTGTGTGTCGCTCCGAGAAATCCGACCTGACACTGCCAACCGTCGTCGTGCCCACACACCGACCAGATCCGAAGCAGTTCACGCACATTTTGGCGCCATCACCAGCACAGCTTCTGCAGCGGTACCAGCCAGACGAGGTGCATCTAAAACAATGCTGCGTGCGTGTGTGGTGTGTTGTGTGCGTGTGTGTGTGTGCGCGTGTGTTGTGTGTGTGTGCGTGTGTGTGAGCGTGTGTGTGTGTGCGTGTGTGGTGTGTATGTGAGTGCAAACGTATGTGTAATAAATAAACCTGTGAAGTAAAATTACATTAACGCTAGACAGACCCATTCATATATGCATCGTCATCATGATACAATCATCATCATCATCAGCATCATCATCATCGCCAGCATCATCATCATCATCATCACCAAACTCACAGTAATAGTAGTAGTTCTAGGAACGACAATATATTTAGATTCGTCCTTGAAAATTTCCGAAGGTGAACATTCCAGCTGCCAGGGTGAGGGTGGCGGGTCGGATGTTTTGGAGGTTTGTGATTGGCTGGACGAAAGATGCAGCTGCAGCTGCTGCTGCTGATGATGATGATGAGGGTGATGAAATGCAACTAAATTGTGCGGTTGTCCTGAATGAACAAATAATTAATAATAATATTAATAATAATTATAGTAATAATAAAAATAATAATAATAATTATGGTAATAACAATAACAATAATAATAATTATAGTAATAATAACAATAATGATTATAGTAACAACAATAATAATAATAATTTTAGTAATAATAACAATAATATTAATATTAATAATTATAGTAATAATAATAATTTGTTATTATTATTATGATCGTCATCATAACCAGTGTATGGTTCGTGGCACCAGGTGACCCGTCTCGTTTCGCAAAACGTCTCCAGGGTGTACTGGGTTAAAATAATTATAGTAATAATTAATTATAATTACAATTAATTAATTATAATTAATTAATTATCAAAATTAATATAATTATAGTAACGTGGTATGCATGATATGGTAGCAATGATATGATATCCATGTTCTTGGCGAATGATCTGCCGTATCTGCAACAGAGTCCAGATAGGTTACTCTCTATTCTGCTCCTCACTATCTCCTCATTTACACTGAAGCTGGTGATGATGATGATGACGATGACGACGATGATAAAAATGGTGATGACCATGATTATGATTATGACGATGATGATAACAATGATGATAGCATTGCCTACCTTTCAGGTAAA